TCAGCTTCTCTTGACAGCTGTGTCGCCATGCTTCTTTGTCGAATGTGGATGACGTCAGTGTGTGTGTGTGTGTGTGTGTGTGTGTGTGTGTGTGTGTGTGTGTGTGTGGGGGGGGGTGGACGGTGACGTGTTATGTAAATGTTACATCGATCTGAAAACATTAATAAAGAACAAGTAAAAATAAAAAGTCAGTTATATTTATGATGAAATAATTCATAATATTTATATATAGGCTATATGTGTCAGTCTATACACACAGATGTAATACATTCATTAAAAAAAACAAAAAACGAATTGCTGCAAAAGAAACACATGATTCATTTACAAAACCTCCTTGTTGACAAATGTAATGTAGTTTTTACTAAAAACTGTGTTGCTTGTTGTGGTTGTTTCAGAATTCACATTCACACTGATGTAGGCCCATATTACATATGACCTTACATTACATTTTTTTTTTATCCCCAGATAAATCACCTCTTTAACCTTGATCATCACTTCATTTTGAGCTATTGTATTGTATGCCTGTAATAAAACTAATCAATCAGCTGATCACTACCCTGGTGAATCAGCACGGCCTGCGCTACAGTTATGCCAGAGGTTGTAATGGATTAGAGAGGGGTGAGAAAGAGCTCAGTCATCGACACAACTGTGACTGTCGATATCTGTTCACATGACTCTGAGATCCGGTCAATCAAGGAATAAAGGAATTATTTCTCTTTTTAGGCGTGTCAACAGAGTATATTCTTAATTATTGGTTTACCTCTTACAGGCAAAAGACAGGCGGCAACGTTTTATTTGCTACTTAAGAGGGATAATCCAGTGTTTCTAATTTGCTGCTGGGGGTGAAAGCTAATAAAAAGGAAACTAATCTAGTAGGCATGCATCCAGAGTTGGGGGGGGGGTCCAAAAGGGGACATTCTCTACTGTTTTGCACAGTCTCCTCCAAAAGCCTGCAAGGAAGTTTGTCTTGCACTGACTTTGGGTCGGGTATTTTATAATCCCATCATATTATTAATAACAAATTACATTACATTTATAACCAGCACAGAAAGCAGATCAGCTGTCTACAGCAGTGTTAGTATTGATCTGGCCTTTCCCTGTGGTGCATAAACTGGCTCATTGATTGATTTACTGTAGCTTTAACACATTACACACACTTTCATTAATAGACTCTGTCTGTCACATGTTAGGCAAACTAAGGCTGCGGCAGCCAGAGTCCCTGTGAATTGGGATCTATAGTTACTCTCTCCTCCTCACATAAACTGAGGAGGGCATACACTGGTTGCCTCTATATGTGATTTTTTATATTAGGTAAACAATGTAATAAAAATACATTATAATAGTGACATCCCCACTGCTCAAGTATTTTGAATGTGACTCTGGGCTTGTGATTGTCCAAAGGAAGCATTGTCCAATTTACTTATTATACTAAGTCAAGATGTAGTTACAGATTCTGAACGATAGAGGGCAGCATAAATCAACAAGGGACATTATAACTGAAATTTTAATCAGATTTGTGATAGCAATTTTTTGAATGCTCTCACAAGTCTGGTATTTCACGCTCCTTTTTATGGAAAATAAAACATAAGCTATTGTTCAGCTTGGATACATTTTTTTGGAGAATAAAAAAATGCATCACGTTTCACCATTTTACTCAGCAATATTATTAAGACAGCCCCACTGTTGGCTTTTAGTCTTGAACAGAAAAATCAAAACTTTCATTTGTTAAATATTTTTTTGAAGAATGTTTGTTTGATGTTGGAGAAAGAACATAATAAAAAAAAAATACTTACTCCAGAGCAGTTGCACAAGTGCACCATAACTCTTTATCAGCTGACATTCTGATAGAGAGATGTGCGCAATATGATCTTTGTTGACATTTAGTGAATGTTGCGTGTGTTGCCAAGGTGCTGTGTTGCATTTCTGCAGTGTGTGCAAACCCCAATCCTTGAAAGAGTGACACTTTTTTCAAATGGGACCAGTGTGGGGGCAGATGCAGTTTTTTTTTGTTCTTAACTTTCTTAACAAGAACATAATATCACAAACCACATCTGCAACCTCCCACACAATTTGTCCTTTTTATCTTCTCCCTTCAAAGGTCATCTGCAGAGATAAGTCCCACAGGTAATCTGAATTAGACTCGGGTGGGTCTGCACAGGAGAAAGTTCATTTAAGTCATGTGACTGCCACATAGCAATATGATGAAGCCTTTTTTTTTAAATAAAAAAGTGCTCAGAATGTATTTACAACAAACGTGAATGTACACTCATCTCTCTCATCAGTAATTTTACTTTTCCTCTCAGCTTTTTGTCACTCAGGGATGTTTTAAGGATATTTTAATTTTAATTCAATTGTTTGCTTCTCCTTTGTATTCTTTCTGTTTCCCCTGCTTAAATAAAGCTTAACATTGTAATAGTCAATAAAAAACATTTTAGTACAAATGAAATAGTCTGCTCTTTCAAAGTACCTCTACAGACTGGAGTTGGTTTTATTCTTAGGTATGGAATTACTTTTTGCAAAAATCCCATGTGACTGACTGAAAAGGTTGCACAAATTTAGCATAACGCATTTTGCTCTTGGGTTTCAAAACAAGAAAAACTTCCAGTTTGAAGACCTATTTTAGTTCAGCTAACCATTTTGATTACACTACTCTGTTCTTGTTCTCCCAGAGACGTTTTAAACCTTTCTGAGTGAATAGGAATAATGTCAAAATATTTAATTACATTTTTATTTGCTCACTTCATGACTTAAATGGCTAAACAAATATTTTGTTTTTGTTGCATTTGTTATATATTTAGGACTCTGGTGTATTTAGATAGTTAAGACAACAACTCTGAGACGAGCAACATGTCTGGGTAGCCAGAATTTCTTCAAGATGGCATAAAAGTGAAAAAGGCTTCAACCCTTTGCTTTTGCTTGGAAATAAAGACCACAGGAAATGTGATATTGATGCTTTTAGATGCATTTGTGAGCTGAGCGTCTGTCTGTACGCCCACACGCTTCTAGCCAAAGTATATGTATGGTGGCTGTGTCAGAAAAATGAGAGGCTGCTGTCTTCTGTGCATGCATTGTGTGCTGGGGATGGAGTGACTGTCATCAAAATGTGCTTGTGCATAAATTATTTTCTGCATAAAATGAATGGTCTCAGTCTTAGAGGCGTCTTGCATGTTGCTGTACACGCTTTGCTTTAGTATATAAAAAAATATAGTATGTTTACACAAGTAAGATATCTACTTGCTTCTTTTTTTTATACAAGTTGACCTTAAAAGTCTAAAATAATGTTTAAATGTCCTTAATATTCAGTATGACTGGTAGAATAGCATCGGTATAGCACATTTTAAAAATAGATTTTTTTATGACTCTTCTTATCACAGCTTCAGTGAAACATTAAACACTGGCTGCACATATTTTTGATCAGGTTTTTGTGTGTCTGTGTATGTTGCATAAGCTAGAGACAACACATTAAGACTTTGAGGGTTTCCTTCATGTTTCACACAAATGAAGATTGTAAATAGATGGAAAATGTGTCCTTATAGCTTAACTGTTTTGATCTCCAATACCCGCATTACTTATCCAATTATAGTCAAAATATGGGCAAAAAGTAAAAAAAAAGATATCTTGTATGAGTTAGTGCGTGTTTTTTATTTTAATCTTTTTTTTGTTTGTTTTACATTTTTTAACTTTTTGCTTCTCTGTAGCAGAAAGATCATCAAAGCAGCAACACATCAAAGCTTAGAGGACACCAACCTCTGATTTGCTTACCCAATAAAGATTAACCTTAGGAGATTGATGGGTTGGACAGTGACACAGGGGTTAAAGGGATGGGAACAGCCCACGTTCAGACCGATTTACCATTGCTTTATTCTAGTAGGAGAATTAGTAGCCTACCAAATCTCTCTTAATATTGCCTTAGAATTGAATTGTGATTTATCTAAGCCAATGGCAGAAAGGAGTTCCTCAGAGCAAGAATATCAAGAATGAGTAGATAATATGCATATGAAGAAAAATGACTCACAACAACAATGTCAGATCATTTTTAACACTATTGTCTATTTTGTATACAGGTCTAAAGAGTACACATATGTGACTGGCCATATACTTTACACATTTTCAAATGGTTGGGTCAAAATTGTTCATCTTCTCAACTGTAATAAAACAGTTAGTTAACATTTTGTACAGAGTTCTGGTATAAATTTACATCCAGTAAAAACACTTCACACATTTAAAATTTAAGAGAGCATTTAGATAACATTTTAGAGTGATAACACTTCTCTCAACCCCATACTGCAGGTACTGCATGAATACCATTGTTTTCATTCACTTTTATGAGGCACTTTTCAACCATGTACAACATTATTAAACCATCCATCGTGACAATGTCTTGATTTCCCTTATATAGCTCCAACTACAGGCCTGAATTAACTGATTAGAAATGAATGGGCCTCTGTGCTGAAAGGCTCAAGGGATATAAAGGTAAAAAGTGCATCATGTCATTATGCCTACCAATCCTGTCTTGGATTGGAACCAAACAAAGACGTAGGGTTAAGAGCCAGGCACAATCGGATGTAATTTTAATGGTGGGTGGTTGGGATGGAATAGAGTGCCAATTAAATAGAGTAAGGTGCTGCTGCAAGTTCAAAAGGATTTGGGACATTAGTTTTAATTTGTTTTATTTTTTATTTTTTGTGAGCAAAAACAAATGTTTTATTCAGAGTTGAAGAACATCATCAGAAAGGTGAATTTTATTGTGATTCCTTTTTATTTTACCCACTGGTACCATAATGGCATAGGTTAAAAGCAGAACAAATAAAACCATCAAAAACGTACAATTGTATCCAATAAATCGGCAAATCTTCATGAAAATGTTTACTCCATAGACAAGGACCTGCGTGTGTATGCGTGTCTGTGTCTGTGCATTTGTGTGTGTGTGCTGTGTTGTGTCTGCTTACGTCACCGCTGTAAGTGCCTTGTCACGCGGGGTTAGTAAAAGTTGGGATAGGAGCTCCGGAGAGAGAGAGAGAGAGAGAGAGAGGGAGAGAGAGAGAGAGAGAGAGATAGTGAACCGGAGAGATAGAGGGAATGAGACGGGGAACAGGACATTTTGGCGAACATTAAACACTGGAAGAGAAAGCGCTTCTTTGTTGTTGACTCGGTGAGAGAACTAGTGAGAGGAGAGCCCGAGGGGGGGCCGGCGACTTTCCCTCAAGTTGACGCCAGTGGAGGAGTCTTTTTTTATTTTGGATTGTTTTAAACGAGAGGAAAACTATAGCTCGCACGCTTCACGCTTTTAAACTGAACTAAAGTTGAACTTAGGCGTTGTGTCAGTCGGTAAATGTTGTGACATTTTGTGCAGAGCATAAAGTGCTCCAGCGGTCGACGGTAGGTCGAGTGGCGGGGTGAAGCCCGAGCTGTCAAACCCGATGACTACTGCAAACTGCCCCGGGAATGAGGAGCTGGATTTCAGACTGATATTCGGAGAGGACGGGCAGCAGCAGCCGCTAGGCCCCGCAGGTTAGTTTATGTCCTTTTGCTTCTTGCTGTGTTTTCGCACAAACGTCATGTAACTATATGCAATATGGTAAACATAACTTTTTCAGTTTAGTTACCTACTATTGGCTTCATTTTTGCACGGCAGCTTTCAAACCCCACATTTCAAAACTGTATGTGTTCAATGAAAGAGGAACCGGCTCCTACAAGAGGTTTTTTTTTATACTTCAGAAATGGAGATATTAAAAATACTTCCTATCGTGGTCTCCCAGCTAGTGTCCACAACACCAGCTGTCATTAGCTCGACATGCTAACAGAGTAGCACTAGTGCTGTTATTGCCATGTGCTAATTTAATTGTGTTTTCATGCAGTTTAAGCAAAAAAAAAAAAAAAAAGCTTCATACAATTTAGCAGCAGTTTGCTTTGCAGCTGTGTAGTGAAAACTTTGTAACTCTGGTGAAATATAGCCGAGAGAGAGAGAGAGAGACCAGTGTTAATGTTACAGGCACATGTTAATGTTGTCAAATCTGTCAAAATTATAGAAAACAGAGCCTACTGTTTTATTTCACTTTAAAAATAATGTTTACTGTAATAATCAGTCAATTGTTGTCAAAAGGGCTTTGGGTTATAAAATGTATCGATGCAATTCATCGTTACATGGTAGTTAGTATGTTTGTAAACAGTCATGTTCGTGTAACTTTAACAAAGTCAGCATGATTTCAAAACATTTGCTCCTATCTGCCCCTTCAAATGAAAAAAATGGTTTAATTGGAAAATATTTTTTTAGATTAGAGTACAGATAAATATTGATGTAATAATTTTTGTAAAAATGTTATAATTAGTGTGGTTATCATCATAATGATTTTTAAGCAAAGATCTAAACAAGTTTACTCTCAGATTCAAATTTCATTCAACAATGGGCCCATATGTTGTAGTAAAAAGCTTGGAAGCAAGTTCTGCAGGTAGCTGTTAGCAAATTAAATTTTGTCACAAGTTTAAACAGGTAGGAAGGAAGACAAGTCATGAAGTCTTTTAACTCAAAAATTACATTAGCCCTTGAAGTGTAGCACTTGGTTTGCTATTGAAATACTTTTTATTTTAGCTGTATATAAGACTCATTGATTATTATAGTTGAAGAAAGTTGGTATAGTGAATACATGATGACGTCTACTTTGACTATATTGTCTATTAAACTTTGGAAACACTATAAATGGAAACTAGACTGTAAAACTTTAAGAATGTAAGTATGCACGAATGACTGAAATCCGAAGGTATTTCAAAGTTTCCAGTTGATGTAATGCATATAAAATATATATTTTTTGGATCGTAAATGTTTTTGCACTATAAGTGTATTACATATCCAGTGACGTTATTGAAAGAGCAGGTACAAATGAAATATTTAATTTTTACCATAATTACAGGTTTAAGGCATACTAATATCAACATCTTGTGAGAAGGACTTTTTTATGGGTCTATTATATTATTGGTCAGTTAACTGATTTTACTGATTTTTTAAATGAACTTGCTGATTACATATACAGAGGCTGTGTTTAAGATGCGGTGGTGCTGCAGTGCAGAAACATTGGAAGTGGCTGAAGTGTCTGCAGTTCAGTTATCTTAAATATGGAGTCACTCCTGCAAATGATAGAGACCTTTTCATATTTAATGTTTTAAACAAATTAATGTATAATCTATAAGTGACAGCATTTTTTAGATTATACACTTGTTGAGTTATTACAGACAAAACCAAGTAAAAATCTGTATTTAAACCCACAAATGTGTAAATAAGCTGATTTGTTATTGGTATTTCTCGTTCACTCTTTTCTTTTGGTTCTGTCTTTTGACCTAAACTATGGTTGAGTTCTCCAGCTCTGTCCCTATTCATGTAACTCTGGCAATGTACTCTCTCCTTGAGGTTTGGCTTGTGCAATTCTGATTGTTTCTCTTTCAGTTCTAAAAAGAAGTTTGAATCAGAGATGGAATGAGGAAAAAAACTAAGCCTAGTTAACTAAGCCTAAGAAAAAGGCACCACTGTGCAAGAGGTTTAAATCTGGTCTGAACTGTATGACTTGGCATTACAGGGGGCAGCTTGTCTGAATTAATAACTACAGGAATACAGGATTAGACTGCCTGAGTTACAGCGAGCAAACTTCTGAGTTAAGTCTCATTCTCTGAAGGCAAGGATCAAGTCGGGGCTTGTTTTTGTTACAAACAGGAAAACCTCTACAGTCAATATCTGTCAGGGTTTTCATCCATTCAGCTTCTAGTAGATACATTTTGCTTTAACTTTTACAAGCATGCAACAAATTCTTCAAACTATTAGTGTGTGAAAATGAGTGGAGACCAAGCGGATTGCTAAATCTTTTTTTTTTCCCAAAGTGATCTTGTAAATACTGGCTTCCTGTACACTTCTGTGCTTATTGCAGTTTGAATCCTGAATGTTTTACTTGCATATGTGAATATGATTCAAAGTGTTTTTCTTTCATTTTCCTTTCTTTTGTCTGTCCAAATGGCTGTCTGTCCTTTCCTTCTTTTGCTCTGTTTTCTTGTTGCTCAGGAAACAGTCAACTCTTTGACGTGAAATACTCCACTGTTCTATTCAGAGGCATTAGGCAAGCCTACTGTAAGGGTTTTCCCCTGATTATGCCCAGTGCCGACTGAATAGAAGAACAACACCCCCTTGAAATCAGCCTAACCAGCAAGTTTGATTGGGTCATCTTAATCTCTATTCGGTAAATCGATTAAAGATTTTAAAAGCTTCTCAAAAAAAACTATCTAATGAGTAAATCATTTGGGTTTACTCTTTGGTTACATCTAATAAGAAGTTTTATTATTATACTTGGTATTTATTTATTCACTCACATTAATTTTACTTAATACTTGCTTTGGATTTGAGCTGATGGGCTGGGTTTATTGTGGATAAATGTTGACCGTGGAGTTAGAAGATTAAGTGCATACATTAACAGTACAAATTCTAGAATCTAATCCTAGAATCAAACATAGAAATAGCAGGAGGTGCTGCTGAAACTTCCAGCCTACTTTGATCATCACTTTATTTCTTTAAAGCACAAACAGATTGTTTCTGTTGAGACAAGCTCATCAACAGACAACGCAGTGCGCCGCTCTCTCTCTCATTAAATGTCAATGTAGATTGCCCACGAGATGATCTATCTCCCTTCCTGCTATCACTATAATTAGTTTTTTACTTAAAGGGATACTTCACCTGTTGAAACATGAATCTGTATTGACATTGGGTCATATATGTAGAAATGTGAAGTAAATTTTGAAGTTGGTGCCTTCTTGGCTGAGAAAAGGCAGAAAGTGTCTTTTTGGCTCATGTGGATGAAAGACACCAAATCCCTCTATTTACAGACATATTTACTACAACACATATGTCCTCCTCAACTGATTCCGAGATTTCTTCCAGAAGGAACTGGCATCTTGGAAATTCCTGGCAGAAAACAGACTCTGTGTTGATAGGCAAACAGTGAGAGTACCGACACCTCCAGTCCGCCCCAGCTCGAGCCGGCCCCGGCTGCAGGCCTTATGTCTCGGCGTAGCTTCAGTGGTTGAAGAGAAAGAGAGAAATCAGGGAGAGAGTGGGGTTTGACATGCGAGGAAGGAGCGACAGGTCAGATTTGACCAAAATATTGCAGAATGGCAGATTTTATTTATTTTGATATTTTGTTGACAAAACCTTTTTGTTAATGGATTTTACATATGTATCGCTTTTCCAGTCTTCTGACCAATCTAAGCGCTTTTACACTCCATGTCACATTCACCCATTCATGCACTGATGGTAGAAGACGCTATGTAAAATGCCCATCAGTATCGTTTACCAATTCCATCCATACTAATTTACTAACTGGGACTGGGGTTTAGTGTTTCAACTTGTAGACTGCAGGACCTGAACGACCAACCCTACCACTGAGCCACATTCACCCTATTAATAAGTAATTGTATAGTTAAAGTTCAACCAAGTCCTTAAAATTGTTCCCTTCTAAAATTAATTCCTGGGAAATGTTTTCTTCAAGCTTGTGTTGAAGAAAACATGAATCACCAAACAACATATTCTCTCACTTACTGCTTTTAGTATTAATTTAACATGTACATGAAATGTATTTAATAACATTCAAATTGTCTTCCATCATTGAAATACTATGGCGATGAGTGGAATTTAATTAAGGATTTTTTCTTTTCAAGTAAAATAAATAAATAAGAGTGACGCACGGCTGTGTCCATGTCCACACATTGGAGAACAACACAGAGAACATGACAGCTACTTTACTGAGTTTGTGGCTTATTTTGAGTCATTTTAGTCACAGCTATAACACTGCAGGATTTATCCATAATAAAGGCTATCCCCGTTGTGTGCTCGTGCTTGTGCTCGTGCATGAACTGCACCATGCCGGAGCACACCTCTTCCAAGCCTGCCAGGGCCAAGGAAGTTTAGGGATGAAGCGTGCTTGGGCACAGTACCAATTGCCTAGTGAGTATACTCTCACACTTTTTCTCAAGTGAGAGAAATGAGCTTCATATTCAGCTGTTAAATTTTTTAAATTGTGTCAGACAACACCTGAGTCAGTCAAAGGGTTTCTATGTGGACCAAAACTAAAACAACTTTAAAAGAACTTTGTTGGTCAGTGTGTAAGGAGGATTCTGGTGGATCAATCTTATTGGGCTCTTCGTTAATTTATTTGATGACCTCAGATCGGATTTGAGTTGGTATGATTGCTGAAAACATTTGTGCTTTGCTTGTACTGAGGTTTGACACTGCCGCATTTAATGATCGTTTGTAGAAAAATAGAATGAACATATAAGAGTCTGTCCATTTGTCTTTTCTAACCTTAGAGCACTATCTTCTTTTCCCCAACTCATTTAGTTTCTCCACTGTGTTTCTGAGACTTTTCTCTCCGCTGACTCCTCCGTGTGTTTCTGTATTCTCACTCACTGTGTTCACTCACAATGCCTGGTCCAAGTAAAAGATTTGATTGGCTGAGTAGCATCACTTTACTTGTGATGAT